CTCTCTCTCTCTCTCTCTCTCTCTCTCTCTCTCTCTCTCTCTCTCTCTCTCTCTCTCTCTCTCTCTCTCTCTCTCTCTCTGTCTCTCTCTCTGTGCCACACACACATGCAAAGGCCCACCTCTCTCTTTCCCCTCATACTGGTATGCTCGGTATGTGCAGATTTTCCGTCCCTTCTACTTCCATAGCGCAACTACTGTAGTCCGAGCACACATGGAACCGAGCGTTTCAAAAAACACCTAGTTGGCACCTCTTATCGTTTGCACTGCCTCCACCTTTACAGATAGCTCATCCCAACATGCCGGCAGATCAGATATCTTGAGATCCAACAGCAGACATTTATCTCCTATGGTTGCCCCCAACAGCTGATAACGATCGGTTCATGCATGGGGCATATGCACATCGACTGCATCTAACTGAACCTTCCTTTCCCTGGATGTCCCGTCTTGGTCCCATGTAGTTTCAACTGGTTCCACCAGGTTTCAGGTTCCGCCCCATCGGGTCTCAAAAAGATCGTTCAGACTGGTTCCCCGTAGTTCCAACCATGGTTCCAACTCATGGTACACCTCGATCCAACTGGGCCCAAACAATCGGTTCCACATTGGTCTCCGTCTGTTTCCCACAAACCACCGGCTCCACTTGGTACCAACCGGTGTACCAGCCTTCACCGCCTGGTACAGATCCACTGGAATTATCGTCTTTAACCATCTTTAACCATCCGTCACATTCCGCTCAAGCGCTGCACACAAACGAAAACGGGACAGTGAGCACAGCATCCCACAGCGAGTGAGAAACACAGCGTCGGGGAATCTGCGGCCGGATTAACTCCTGTCCAATATACATACCCAGAGTTAATTGATTGTCGATCTAATCTGATTACCGTCTTCACCCAAATAGAACGCCCGGTCATTATAGCCGTATCTGGACTGAATAATGCACCAGATACGGCTATAATTACCAGGCGTTCTATTCAGGTGAAGACGGCAGATGCCAAAGGTGCGAAGCACACTTCCAAGTATCTGGGTACTATGATTGTAGGCCGTGAAAACACCTCCCCCTTTTCCCCTCTCCTCTCTCTCTACCTCCCCCACCCCCAAAACAGACATGTAAATCACACAAAGAATCACCCTCTTTTCAGACCTATGCATTATCCCTTCTTCCCCCCCTTCCACACAAATCGAACAAAAAATCACCAATCCGCTGATTGTAGATTTTATTACCCTCTTTTCAGACCTGTGCAGAGTTTGGAAAATCCACAATCAGCTGAGCATGAACAAAACAGCGGGTCAAACCGCATAATAAAAATTTGTCCCAAATGCACAATGCATCTCCCTACCGCACACACAACTCCCAAATTATTATCCCATAAAAGATCGAACCTTTGTTAGAACTATGCGTAAAGAGAAATTGCCCCATAAAGCGGTTTACTCCAGTAAATCTGAGAGAGAATGAAAAATTGCCTCATAAAGTGGTTTGCTTCATAAACCTCTCTCTCTCTCTCTCTCTCTCTCTCTCTCTCTCTCTCTCTCTCTCTCTCTCTCTCTCTCTCTCTCACACACACACACACACACACACACACACA